TGTTTATAGCCGTATATGTGAGAGTGCAAGTCGAGCTTCTTTTTACTTTATTTGATAAACCTCGGGATTTTTATTTATATACATATACACAAAATGAGGGAGTGTATACAGTTTGTGACCTACGAATAACAAGTGAATGCTGGCACAAATACAAACAGAAATACAAGATCTTCAATGATATTAAAGCGGAAAAGATTAGAAATGTAAAATGGCTGAGCAAAGTCCAGCCGAATCTAACAGCTAATATATTCATTATGATATTTGCTAAAGATCGATAAGCGATTTGTGGCAATCAATAAATCTTAAGGGAAGTAGAAAGCACTTTGAAGTACTGAAATAATCCCAACTGTTGTAGCTATTTGGGCATAATGCTTAAATCTATTCCAACAATTTGCGCAAATTAGAGTAGAAAAAGTAGCTCAATGAGACCAACTCGAACAAGATAGCATATGAGCTACATGGGTAGGGTAGTAATCATTTTGTAGAGCATCTAGCAAGTCGAACAGGTCGAAGTATATTGGAATGTCAAACTGATGCGTAGCTAAGGTATTTGCAATGTAGAGTTTCTGGTAAGTCGAGCAGCTCTACGCTTATTGAAACTTCATTTAGTGAGCAGTTGAGATGGGGTATTTCTTATGTAGAGTATCTAGGCAGTCTCTCATATTGAAATCGAGAAGTTTCCCGGATAGGGTATATGTAAAGTAGCTAAAAATTGATTTAGCTCAAGCTGTTCGAGCTTAGCGAACAGTCGCATGGACTCGGTGCGTAGGCAGGGTATTTGTTGGTCTCTTTCGAGCAACTTCTTGCACGTCTTAGCGAAAAATTCTTTGGCAGCAAGCACAACCACAACACACAGGCACACACAGGCACACACACACACACACACACACACGCAGAGTGCTATGCAAAAATATCAACTACGTAAAATAAGTGAGGGGCAGAGCAGCGACCGCGACTGCGACGGCGACTGCGACGGCGACTGCGACGATGACAGCGACAGCGGCAGAGGCAACGTCAACGGCGACAGCTCTGACTGCCGATTGGCGCACACATTGGCAAACGAGAGCACTTTATTTTTAAATGTTTTAAAAATACGAGCATTATAGAATTTAGCGGCTTAGTCATAGCAGCCAGCGCAACGCGGTAGCCGAAAAGAACCAAAATATGCCATGCGAATTGACCAGAACTAAGAAACACAGCACGCGAAAGCGGGGCGAAAGCGAATGGAATGGAACGGCCATACGAAAAACTAAGCACACACACACACACACAGCAGTTGTCGAGGTGCTGGCGATGAGGTGGCCAAGATGAGATGACACACGCAAGATCACGAGATCATACGGACAGAGATTCATCATGGAGCGATCTGGCGCAAAAGCCGAAAGAGCTTTTCTTGTCCGCGCGATGGGAATGATGTGGGAACGAGACAAGGTGTGGATTAAGAGATAACTGAAAGTATTCAAAGTATTCACGAGTTCAAAGCGAACAGAGATCTCTGATGAAACGAACTCAGTGAAAGCCAAAAGGCTTGGAATGGACTGGAATGCAATGGAAATGAGCCTAAGTGTGGAATTGATCGATCATAAGATATCGATAACTAATTGCGAGCAGATGTTGTTGATAAGACAAAGTCGGTAAAATAGGACTGATCTTTTCTTGGTTGGAACGAAATGGAATGGAACTGAATTGCGGAGCCAAAGCAGAGTGATATGGTGATCAGAGTGAAGTGAGGTTAGAAGTGGAGAAGTGGAGAAGTGATCGAAGTATTCGATAGATTTAAATGAATCAATATTTCACATGAAAAGTTACTACTGTAGAAACGATCTCAGTGGAATGAAACGGAATGGAAATGAGCTTTGGAATGAAGAGATGACTGACTGAGATCAATAGATCAGTCGATCGTTATCAAAGCGCAAAGAAATCCTCGATGGGAGGAGCTTAAAGACAGCCAAAAGTGCTACTATCCTCTCATTTCACTTTATGAAACAAATGGGAATTGAAACACTAGCTGAAATGAAAATATTCAAACGATCTCTGGGCGATCAGAGATGATAGAGCGTTCGAGACGAGCTTAAAGGTGAAGTGCAGCAAAAGCCAACAAGAAAACTAATAGGCAAATGCAATGAATGGTACTTGGAACAACATCTGAAATAAGCGTAACTGAAACATATTCAATGGATTGTGATTTCAAAGCAAACAGTGCTTCTCGAAGAATCAATTTCAGCGAAAGTCAACAGTGCCTTTCCTAGTATACAATAGAAACATATGTGGCATGGTCTGATAATGAGGCAAGGTGCACGATGGTATCAGGTAACAAACGAGTCATATTCAGTGAATTCAAATTATAACATCAAATGGCGTGAGATCAATTTAGGATCTGTTTCGTTTTGCTGTAAGTCTCGAGTGGAATAGGTCTATACGAGATTGCCTATAGAGTTGGCGATATAATAATATATGTAATATATGAAATGTATATAGATTATATAGAGGAAAATATCTTGCAAATTATTTAGCAACATACAGTTATTATAAAATAATCTCATTCGCATATATTCATATATGTTATATAATATTTTTTTATATTTTACATTTCATTTTTATGTTACATTATATTTGTAGAAAGTTTCGGCTTATAGGGAGGAACCTTTACAATTTTATATATGTATATACATATATATAGTATAGTAGATAGGTGTGGCATGTAAGGGAGTTCATATAAGAAGAAACCTTAAGCTGTATATATATATAGAAGGTAGTAAATTCCGAAATACGAGGGACCGTCGTTATACCCAAAAGGCGCTACAACCGTATAAGTTCGCTCATAAAAGTTTGTCTGGGGACCAGAATTTTCCTCGCTATAACCGTACACAGGCTATAAGCGGAGACGTTATAGCCGGGTTCTACTGTATTTATACATTGGGCTATAGATCTTAGTCTTAAATAGGCTTTAAAGCTGCGGCATAAACGAGTCTGTCTGGCGATCTGACGCCAGGTAGAATGCATTGGTCTACGACTCGTCCGTCGTCCGTATTTTCACTAGCATTAGCATATTTCCCTTACTGTCCCACATTGAATTGTATAAGAAAAGGGAAGGGTAGCGAGCAGAGGAGAGGTGAGGCGAGGCGGGGCGGGACAAACGGAAGGAAGAACAACGAAATAGTGTAGCAGTGAGTGGGATCTGTTTGATCTGATCACATAATACCTGAAGAGTAGCGTGATCGTTGATCAGCCGATTGCCAATTGCGAATTGCGAATTGCCAATTGCATAAGGGCCTGGCGAGCTGTTTACTGTTTGTTGTGCGAGTGCCAAGTGATTAACACCCGCCAACAAAATGGCAGACGAAACGTTTACGAATCGCGCCGCAAAGAAGACGAGCGAAAAAACGCTGCCAAAGCGAAGGAAATCAATAAAAAATACTTTGATTTTCATGTTTTTCATTATATTTTTTTATTTCTTGTTCAATTTTTGTTGCTTTTTTTTTCAATCTTTATCTTTTTTTTGTTTCAATATATAAAAATACTGTTTTAAATATATATTCATAAATATATATATATATATATTTATTTATATATATATTTAGGGGCACGTATGGATATAAAGTTTTGCGCAAAAAAAAACATCTCTTGTATATAAATATATATTGTATATATGTATATTGTATATAGATATAATATAGATGTAAATATACTATATATATAGATATATAACTAGATATCTATATGATTCTTTATATGCATCCGCAGTTTTTAACAATTTATTCAAATTTTGTTTGTTGTTTTTTCATATCACAAGAATTTTCAATTTACCAAAAAAAAAAAAAAAAATACATGTATATAATTAGTGCATATATATATAATATATCTATTCTTAACAATTATATATATATATATATAAAAGTCTATATATATTTATCAACTATAGATGAATTACACATTTGATTAGTTCCCGTTTTGTTAACTCAATTCTGTGGGCTGGCCACGCCCACGCTTCTTTTCTTAGCCATGACAACAAAATTCATAGATGTGTGTGTGCACTTGTGTGTATGTGTATGTGTGTATGTTCGTTTTTCATTTTGTTTTGTTTTTAAAGCTTTTTCTTACAAACGTTTCAATTTCATTATTTTTAACTCAGTTGCTGCAGTTGCATTTGCATTTGTTGTTGTTGTTGTTGTTGTTGTTATTTTGAATACCCTTGCAGCAAGCATATATACATACATATACATACACATATAGAGTTTTCTATGGACACTGTCATAGGAACAATTGCATTTGAAAATTAAAAAAAAAAAAATAAATAAATAAATAAAAATAATATAAATAATAAAAAAAAATAAAAATTATTTTTAATATTTTAGTTTAATTTTTAATAATTTTCTTTATGTTTTTCGTTGCTGTTTTTCAATAAACAATTGTTCCTTAAATATATCAATCCAATATTAATCCAACATCCATATATCAAATATATATATATATATATACATATGTATATATTCAACTTCGCTGCGAAAATATTTCCAAACAATTCAGTTTTTTTTGTTCTTTCAAATTATCGTAAAAATTCTTTAGTTAATTCGTGTTTCTGCTTGATTATATTCCATTCGTTTTTGTACATAATTAATTTAGTTATTTACACAAACAAAACTAAAAAAAAAAAAATAGTACGCTTAAATTATAGTAAAAAAAAGGCTTAAAATAATTTTAAAATAATTAATTAAATGTTTAATGTATACAAAAAAAATATATATTAAATGTGGCTTAAACATAATTTGTGGCTAAAAGTAAAAAAAAAAAAAAAAAATATGTTTATTTTAATTTTAATTACAATTAAAAATATTTTGTTTTTATTTGTGTTTGTTTTAATATATGACAATTGCTTAGGTATATATAAGTGTGTGTGTGTGTGTGTGGGTGGGTGTGGGGCGGGGCTTGATATGTTTTTGTTTTTGTTTTTATTTTTTTGTTGGCTTTTGGAAGTAATTGATTAATTATATTTGAATTAAATTTAACAATTAAAAAACAAACAAAAAAAATAGTTTTTTTTCTTTTGTTTTCTTCTTCTTCTTCTTTTTAGACTTTTCCTTAAGCTGTAACTTACAAGGCCCAGGAAGAGGCCCTAGGCCACGCCCCCAAACGCTTGCTAAGGTGGGTGGTTCGATGGCTGCTGCGGCTGCCGCTTAGGCCAGCAGCGTGATGGGCGCCGCCCGGCTGCTGCTGTTGGGCGTGGCCGTCGGCGGACCGCCAGCCGCAGCGGAGTTAAGACGTGCCAGCGCCTCCTGGTCGAGCCAGCGCTGCAGCTGCTGCTGCTGCATCAGGTTGTCGTTGTAGACGGGGGCATGCAGCTGCAGACTGAGGCTGTAGCCGTGCGTGGAGGAGGAGCTGGCGCTGGGGCTGTCGCTGTAGGTGGAGGAGCTGCTCTCGTAGCCGGACACGGGCGAGCCCTTGGGGCAGCAGAAGCCGATGGGCGAGAGCGCCGGCGCCGAGAATGGGCTGAGCACGTTGATTGTGGGCGTGGCGGGCTTGCTGCCCCCACAATTGCTGCTGTTGCTGCTGCTGCTGCTGCTGCAGCTGTTGCTGCCTTGAAAGTGCTGCTGCTGCTGCTGCTGCTGAGGACTCCCGGCGTGAAACGGCGGCAGCGCTGCCGCGCCGGCTGCATAGGGCATCAGCAGCGATGGCGGCGGCGGCGACTGAAAGCAACTGTTGCTGCTGCCGCCGGCAAAGGGATGATTGCTCCAGATGATCGGCTCCCGCTGCTTGGGCGTCACCCGCTTCTTTTTCTTGCTGCTGGCGCCGCTGCTGCCATTGAGCGTGGCGTGCTCCTCGTCATCGGCATCCGCATCGCACTCGTCCTCGACGCGCAGCTCCAGCTGCTCCGGCTCCTGCTCCTGCTCCTGCTCCTGCTCCCGCTCCCGCTCCCGCTCCTCCTCCTCCTGGGCTGCACTCTCGTCTAGCAGATAGGGCTTGAAGAGCTTCACCTGCTTGGCGGGCAGCTTGTGCTCGGCAACAGTTGCTGCTGCCGCTGCTGTTGCCGCCTCAGTCTCGGCCTCCGCCTCCGCTTCCGCTTCAACATCGATGTCCACGTCGTCCTCCGCCTCGTTGTCGCTGGGCTCGCTCTTGATGGCCTCCAGTTTGCTCAGCTTGTCCGCCGGGCTGCTGCTGCTGCCGCTGCTGTCGCCATGCCACAGCGTTTGGGCCGCGCGCTTGCGACAACCCAGCGGCAATGATTGCTGCTGCTGCTGCTGCTGCTGTTGGTCTAGCTGCAACTGTTGCTGCTGCTCGCGCTGGCGTCGCGCCGCGCTGCTCAGCGACAGATCCATGGGCGCGGGCAGTGTCAAATAGTAGGCGTAGGGCAGCGGCTGTTGTTGCGCCGTTGCATGTTGCTGCGGTGCGGGCTGAGGAATGTGCTGGCTGCTGCTGTTGCTGCTGTCGTTGTTACTGCTGTTGCTGTTGTTGCTGGTGGGTATTGGCACGGCATTTGGCACTTGTTGCTGCTGTAGACTTGGGCAATATGGCAACGTTGTGGCGCTGCTGCAACTGTTGCTGCTGTTGCTGTTGCTGCTGCTGTTGTTGTTGTTGTGGCAATTGTTGGTGGTGTTGCTGCTGCTGCTGCTGCTGTTGTTGGCAAAGGCTGCCACCACGGCGGCAATTTTGGCTGCCGACAGCGTGTAGCTGCTGCTGCCAGTGCCGCCGGCAACAGTTGCTGCCGTACCATTGCTGTGGGGCAGCAGAGGCGGCGGCGGTGGTGGCGGTGCCAGCGGCGGGGCTGCCGCTGCGGCTGCCAACTGATGCGGATGCGGATGGGCATGGGGCGTGGCAAATCCATTCGCAAGCATCGGATGAGAGCGCGCGGCAGCAAATGCTGCTGCCAGAGAGGCGGCCGCTGCCGCCTGGTAATGGCGATGATGATGCTGGGCGGCGACCAGGGCATGGGGCAGCTGATGGAACTGGTGCGGCTTCATTGGCGCTGCTGGCGGCACCAACTGTTGCGGCGGTGGCGGCGGCTGCAGCTGTTGCTGCTGGTGCAGATGCTGCTGCTGCTGCAATTGCTGCTGATGATGATGCTGCTGCTGCAATTGTTGCTGCTGCTGTTGCTGCTGGTGCAAATGCTGCTGCTGCTGCTGTTGCTGCTGCTGCTGCTGATGCTGGTGCTGGTTGTTGGCCACCGACGAGCGCAAATTGGGCTCGCATTGCAGCCACTTCTGTATCTGCCGCCGATGAATGTTGTACTTGCGCGCCGTCGCGCGCTGGTTGCCCTTGCAGTCGTTGTCATGGCGGTACGACTCGAGCACCTGCAGCTTGAACTGCGGCGTGAAGATGCGACGTGAGCCCATTTTGGGGCTGCAGGCGCTGCTGCTGCTGCTGTTGCTGTTGCTGTTGCCAATGCTGTTGCCATTGCCATTGCTGTTGCTGTTGCTGTTGCTGTTGCTGGCACTGCCATTGCTGTGGCGCTCAGCAACAGTTGCTGTCGAGTCCTTGGCAGGTCGCTTGTGTTGCTCCTGTTGGTTAAAGCTCAATGCGGCGGCTGCTGCCATGGCTGCTGCTGCTGCTGCGGCGGCGGCAATGCTGCTGCTGCTGCTATTGTTGTTGTTATTATTGTTGTTTATCGAACTTTGTTCGCTGTTATCCATTTTAGTTGCTCGGGCAATATTTGCCTTGTAGTTTGTAAAACGTTTTGTATATCAAAAATAGTATTTACAATATAACGTATTTATATATACTTCTTTATAAATATATACAGTTAGTTTTCAATGTGCTTCAACAGTTGCTGGTGGCGTTGTTGTTGTAGCTGTTGCTACTTGCTGGCGACGCTGGCGACGCTTGCGCTTTCATAACTCGCGATCTGGCAGCGCTGGCACTGGAAACAAGTGAGCGCAACAACAAAAACACGTTAACGTTGTCGTCTTGGAAAAACAACGAGAAACAAAAAGTTGTTGTTTTTTATTTGATATTTGTTTTTTGGTTGCTTTTTGTATTTGTTTTTTGCTTCTTGTTTTTGCTTTTTGATTTTTCTTTTGTATTGGTTGTTGCTTTGATATTCTTATTAATATTATTATTTGTAATTTGCTTGTGGACTGTTGTAAATGTTAGATGAAAGAACACATGAGCACAACACAAAAAAAATATAGTATATATTTGTACATATGTGAAATTTGTAGCTTGAATTCATTTGCACACACAAAAACACACAGAGAAAAATATTGTTGCTCTTGTTTGGCAACGCGACGCGATCCGCAACCGCACGGCAAGGAATCCAAAACACAATTGTTCTGCCCGCTGCGTTCTACGTTCTAGACTGGCTGGCCCGTCGTTGTCGGCGCTGCTGCTGCTGCTGCTGCTGGCGCTGACGCTCACACACACACACATATACACGTACACGACGTAGACGTACAAGTGTGCGCGCGAGAACGAAACGAAACGAATCGAACTGAAATGAACGAATGAACGCAGCACTAGCACAGCGCACAGCTCACGCGCGCGCCTCTCAGTCTGAGAGTATGAGTGCAGTCGACGCTCTGTCTGCCTGTGTGCGTGTGCCTGTATGTGCGTGTGTGTGTGCCTGCGTATCTGTGTGCGTTCTAATAGCTCATCAGGCGAAGTCGCAGCAGCAACAGCAACAACGCCGACAGCGCAGCAAGTGTGCGTGCATCTGTGTGTGAGTGTGAACGAGTCAGACACTTGGCGGGCCCAAGAGTCGCCGCCGCCGCCGCCAGACCAAACCAGTTGTTGTTATTGCTATTGTTGTTGTTGTTCTTGCTGCTCTTGCTGTTGTTGCTTTTGCAGCCAAGCCAGCAGCAACAGCGCTGAGCATTGCAGACAAACTGACGACAATCGTCGGCGAGGTGTCTGCGCTCCTGTATTATGCATGCATGTACATATGTATGCATGTGTGCGTGTATGTGCCTATGTGTGTGTGTGTGTGAGTGAATATGTTGAATGACTGTGAGTGTATGTGTGTGAGAATACTTCTTGTTGTGCTCATGATGGAATAACATACAAATAAATATGTGTGTATATATATATATATATATATATATATATATATATATATATATATATATATATATATATATATATATATATATATATATATATAAATATAAATATATTATTCCATCATGGTTGTGCTTGTTGCGACCGCGGCGCTTTTGTGTGGCTGGTGTAGAGTTGATTTTCTGCTCCGACCGACGACCGACGACCGACGACCGACGGCCGTCGGCCGACGCATCGGACAGAAGGGGACGGACACAAACGACGATTGCTGGCCCTGCCCCCGGGCACAGCCCAGCCGCCTGCCTAACCACAGGCTGACTAACTGACAAGCGCTGTGTGGTGTGCAGGCCACTCAGACTGAGCAGACTGTGGGGCAAATACAGTTTGTCATGAATACAAAAATGCTCAAAATGATCAATGATCAATAATTATATTATTATGATCTAAATAGAAATTTATTGCTACTCATATAAGTATTATTAGAACCAAATAGATATTCGAAGTACTAATAAGTTAAAAAATTCAATTCATAAGTCATCATATGCATAGTTTATTTTTTATCCAAGCGTAATTTCTCATTTTCCTTTTTAATTCAATTTTCAGTTAACCCAACGGACCCACTGTGCAGTTGCTCTTGTGGCTGTGCGCCAAAGGAATAACAGCGGCGACTGTAAACCGCGTTGCGGCAACTGCAGCCAACTTGCGCTACAATTTCGCTAGCTCTGCCAGTTTACACGGATACACACGCACACATACTAAACGTAAAGTGCATACACAGTGCATGAGAGTGTGTGTGTATGTGCAAAAGTGTATGTGAGTCGTGGCTGCCAGACATTCTGGCACTAGGGCTCGGCTCGGCCGACATGTTTAGTGCTTTTGCTTTTGCTCTGTCGCCTCGACGCAGCGTCAAATCGTCACATGAACTTGTTGAGCGCTCGCCGTCGTACGATTTGTGTATGTGTGTGTGTGATTGTAGAAGAGGGGTTTGAGTGCGCGCCATGCCGTTGCCTCTCTGACTCTCGCTCTCTTTGGTTATGCTCTGTGCATGCATATATTTCTTTGCAAGTGTGTGCGTCTGTGTGTTACGTACACAATCGAGAATCAACTGTTGAATGTGTAATGCGCTGGTGTGCGCTGCCTCACGATGGAATAACATGTTATTCCATTATGAGAGCGATGCATTTTTTTTTTGTTTTTCGTTTTTTCTTGCTGCTGCTGCTCATGAATGTATACATACATATATGTTAGCATGTGTGTGTGCGTGTGTTTTGTGGTTGATGTTTATATGCAATTGTGTGTGTGGTTGTTTTTGGCTGTGGGTGCATTAGTCGTCTTAGCTGCTATCATCAAGCGATGCTGCCGTAGCCGCCACCTGACTAAGCTCAAAGACAAAAGGGCATAGAACGCAGCGTGGCATAAGTACAATAACAAATCCAACTGCACTAAAAAAACAACGATAGCATAGAACGGCAGCAGCAACAACAACAGTACATGTAGCAGCAGCAGCAACAGTGGGCCGCACTTGTTGCAAATGACAAACGAAATTCGCTGTCCGAACGCGCAGAGACAAAAATCTGCGCTGTTGCTTGCTGCTGCCGATGTCGCTGTCGCTGTCGCTACTGCGGTCGCAGCCTCTCTCTGCTGCTGCTGTGCTGCCGCGCCGATCGTCGTCAACTGGAATTCATGAATGAAACACATATGCATGTGTTTGTGTGACTTTGCTGGCGTTATTGCTGTTGTTGTTGTTGCTGTGACGACTGCATGTGTATGCAAATTCATAAATAAAAAATGTGTTCTCTGTCTATGGTAAGTTGTTGTTGCCGTCACTGTTGTCGTTGTTGTTGCCGTAGCCGTTGTAGCCAGCATCATTTGCGCGTGCGATATTGAAGAGTAGTCGAAGCGAGGACCCAATCGAGCTAAAACGAGGCATAAACCAAAAGAGTCGAAAGACTCACGCAACATGATTAGAGGTGCTCGTCCAAAGACACCAACAACAACTACTACAACAACAACAGCAGCAATAATGCCGATAAAAAGCATTGACTCACCTAGTCAAAGCAAGAGGCGACGCGTCGTTCGCTCGCTCGTTCACTTGCTCGGCTTGCTGATGATGGCCGATGATAGATCGCTGCTACTCAGCATTGCGCACGCCTTGGCGTGAACGAGATGGGGCGAGCGAGAGAGGGATAGTGAGAGTCGAGCGAGGCTTCCAGGCAGAAGAGGACACTGGACGCTGGACACTGGACCTCAGCGCGCATAGATTCCCACGTCGTTGCCTATGCCTTTGCCTTTACTTTGTTGTTGCTGTGCTTCTTATTCACCTTGTTGTTGTTGCAGTTGTTATTGGCATCCCAACACGCCCCAAAAAAAAAAAAAAAAAAAAAAAAAGAGTACGACGCGTTGTCTGGCAACGTTGAGCGCTGCCTCGTCCCCGCGCTCGCCCACCCCTTTACCAATACTAATGCAACGCCGACGCCGACGCCTGCACATGAAAATGTTTTTGAATTGCATTTCCAAGTAACAAACAACAACAACAAAAACAGCATTAACATCAAGCGCCCAAGGAATAACAAAAAGCAAAAAGCGAACGAAAAAAAAAAAGTTGAAAAAGAACGAAAACTTAAATAACAACAACAACTACACAGGCAGCGCTACATGTGTGTGAGTGTGTGTGTGTGCGTGTTTAAAATAAAATCAAAAGAATTCCACTTTTGTGGCCCCGTCGGCTTCTAAATCGATTTATCAAAAAGAAGAAAACAACTAAAAACAAAAAAACAAAAAAAATAACACAAGAGAGAAAAAAACACATTCAAGTAAAAAGCGGAAAAGACGCAGGCAAAGAGATAAAAATTGAATATAAAAAGGTAAAGGTAACGTAAAAATCGAAAACCTATACACACAATAGATGCACACACACACACACATGCAGACAGAGACAGACACATGAATTGATTAAAAAGTTGATGGAGTAAAAAAAAAAAAAAAAAACAAAACAAAAAATCATTTGGTCAACGAAGGAGTCGGCGCGCACCGGAGGGGGAGCGGAGAGAGTGGAGAGGGGGACATCTTGAAGCACAAAGGGCGCGGTACGATCGTGTGGGCAGCGAGCGGCGAGCAGCGGCGAGCGGAAACGGGGCGACACATAAAAGCGACAGCGCAAGAAGGAGAGAGATAGAGCTGGAGAGCAGACGTGGGCAAAGGGGAACGGAGTGCGGGGCCAAATGGTATTGGGCCCGAGCCCGACGCCGTGCTGTCTGCCTGCGAATGCGGAGCATAAACCCACACAGGCAAGCATCAAGCTATATAAACACATACACACACACACACACAGAGAGAGCTATATACATATGTATGTATAAATATATGTATAAATATATATGTACATTGGTGTATATAGAGAAACGAGTCGGACCCGTGGAGTGGGCAGGGGCAACACTTGGAGACAGCAACTCAAAAGATCGACGCGCACGCGCAACCCAATCCCAGCTTAACTAAGCCAAAGCCAAAGCCAAAGCCAAACCAAATGAAACCGAATCGATAAGTCGACGCATAATAATAATATAATCTGTATACATAGATATGTATATACATATATATCCATATGTATATATGCGCAAGCAAGATCAACGTTGATAGTTCGGATAATATCAGGTTATACCATAATATTGTCAAGTTTCTATATAGAATTGGCCAAGACAAAGATACCAGGACTATAAATAGAATATATGAGCTTATACACATTATATATACATATATGATTCATCGGATATTAGCAATTGGCTAAGGTAAAGATTACAGCATATATAGATATTAGATATCCATAGATTATCCATTGGATATTGGCAATGGGCTAAGGAAAAGACATGAGGATTGCATATGTGCTGATCAAAGTCATATAGAATAAGCGTATATTATATATTAGATATATTATATGATTCATCGAATACGAGCAATTGACTATGGGAAATATATCAGGATTATATCTAGAATATATTAGCCCATAGTC